AGGTTCCCCCGCTGCTCCGCCGCCTTAAGCCGAACGGCAGTTATTTCTGAACAGCCTGTTTTCGCTCGCTAGCGTCACAAGGAGACGCGGAGGTCCAACACTTAACCGACTTAACCTTAACGCTCTTCCTTCTCCCTGCTATCGCAGCATCCAACAACAACTACAATGGAATTCTGCATTTTCTCACGCCATCTCCATGAAACAGAGTAAAAGGGTATGAAAAAGAATCGTATTAATAATGCTCTTGGGGTGGAGCGGCAAGTACGTGAGGGAGGCCGGAGAAAGTGCTGCCGGTGGTGGAAGGTGCCGGGGCTGCTGCCGGGGCCATTCCGAGGCCCAGGGCACTTCAACTAACTCGGAACAACAATAACACCTGACGGCCGCGGCCCGCGAGGCCTCCAAATGCGCAGAGGGCCGCGGGAGCAATGCAGGCGCTTCTAATTAAAAGAGTCGCTCTGCAAAAGTTACCCCGGAAGTGTCTCTCCGGCCCCAACGGGACCGACAACAAGGCAGGAGGGAGCACGGCGCGGGGCGCGGCGAGGGCCGGGCGCGCGGGCGCGGGGTAGGCAGCCGAGCGGCAGCGGTGCACGCGGGCTGCCTGCCTCGCGGGCGCCGTGCAGTCAGCGGGGCGCGGCGGCCAGCCCAGCGGGCTTTGCGCGTGGAGCGGGAGGTACACGCCGTGGCAGGCGCGTCTGACCCCGTGCCCCGCCGCGACCCTCCGCCGCACCGCGTCTTGGGTACAGAACAGATCACAACATTATGATGTCAGGCACGGCGCCGCCGAGGGCGGGACGGGGTGTGGTGAGGCGGGGCGTCGTCGCCCAACGACGCGCGACGTCTTTATTGGCCCCGCAATGACCATTATCAATAATACCGGGACGACGACGCCGTTTGCCACACGCAGGGCACATTCCACGTCATTCAGCCGGTTTACCTCCTCCTCCTTTTCCCCTCACTTGGCCTTTACGTTCATCACGGAAAAGTCAATTTCCACCCACGACTCGCCACTCGACCGCTGAGTTATGGACACTTGCAAACTAAATTAAGTAACTAGAAAAATAAAAAGCAATTCCTGGCAGATACGGAATTTCGGAGGGCTGAGGAAGCGATTAAAAATGAAAGGGGTCACCTCGAAGAACCGAAAACCAAATAACAACGCACGAGTTGATAATGACCCTGGTGTTAATGTAGTGCGTGCTGCACGCATATCAGTGTGAAGGAGACGCGCCGCCACAAGTTTTCAGAGCCGGCCCAGCCTAGGACCAGAGCTGGCCGGCGGAGATGATAGAGGCATTCCCGACTGGCCGGCCAGCCAATCAAAGCTACGGCGGGGCAGAGCAGAGGGCGACCTGACCCGCGGGGACCGGGCCGGCCCCAGAGCCAATCGTGGCCTGGCCGGCTCTAATGAACCGGTCCGACTGATGCCCGTTGTTGTTGTTGTTGTTGTTGTTGTTGTTGTTGTTGTTGTTGTTGTTGTTGTTGTTGTTGTTGTTGTTGTAGGCTCGGGCCGATACGCCACTACTATAGCGTATTGCAGTCCCGGCACGCACTCTCACAGGGAGGCTGCGCGCGTTATCAGTCTCTATCCTCCTGGACCACACCAGTGCGGACGGGGCGGGGGAAC